CCGCCTTGCGGCCGGCGCCCCGCCTCACTTCATTCCGCTGCGGGCTGGAAAAACGGAGCTTTTCACGGATATCCACCCAAATTGGGGCGCGCCAGCGGCAACCCAGGGGGCAGCGGCCCGTGAGGAATGAGCTATAGCTACCTGAGCTCTTCCAGCAGCCCTCGGAGGAAACAGGAGCCATCTTTAACGACTGCAATACCCTGTGCTCCCGCAGAAAAGAGTCAGTTTTAATTTGGGCGGGTTCAGTCCATTTTCCCCCTCCGAAACAAATCTGCACACCTCCAGCGCCAGCGCAGTCACTCTAGCCGGCCCTCATCAGCAAGGTCAGACCATTAACAACCAGCATCCCAATCGTTAGTGACCAGGACAGTGCCTGGAAGGGAGACCCAGCGGTTTTACAGCTGGCAGGACTGCACACACACACTGCATGCCACAGCCACTTCTCTGAAATTCTTTCTTTCTTCCTTTAGGCATAATGAAACATTAATAAATTCTCAAAAACTTCACGCTTATTTACTCGTATGTCAGAATCTGCTTGTCGAGCTGCTTTCCACTCAGAACATGAAATAACACACTTTAGCTTTCAGTTTCTATTAAGAGTAGCTACAGACTCATCCTTTAATGAATCACAACCAAACATCAAAGAGGAATAACATTCAAAAATTTTTAAAAAAGTAAGCTTAAGTCAGGACTTTTTTTAAAAAAAAAGGCATCTAGCCCCTCAGCCTTTTACCGCCTTGACCCTAACACCCCCAGGAGGTCAGTAAATACCGAGAGCTCCGCTGTACAGCCAGGAAACAGGTTTAGCACATCGCAACATCTGGAGACGCCCTCGGAAAGCCATACTTCAGGGGGCACGGGCTGTACCCCCTGCCCTGCAAAAATCGGCCATTCCAGGTGTCCACCCGCGGAGGGCGAGGGTTTGGAAACAGATCTCATTCATCCCGGCATGAACACCACGGCTCCCACCGGCAACAGGAACCGCTTCGTGCTAGCGGCACGCTGTGTGAGACGCCGCTTACCGCGCTGCCTTCCCGAGGCCGGGCAGTGCTCCAGAGACACCGAGGGGAAACTCCTGAGAAACCCAAGCAGAGCGAAGGGCGACCGAGGGCGCAGAAGCACAGGGGTCAGACGGAGGAAGATCTCAACCGGCCATCGGGAAGCGCGAGCGCCTTGCCAGCTTCAGGTGCTATGGACCAGACAGCTGCTGCTGTTCCAAATCACGGAGGGGACAGCGTGACAACGCCGTTGTGGTTTAGTCCCAGAATCACAAAAGAACTGGAAGTCTTTAAGTGGACATATAAACTACCAAGATCCCAGGAATTTCTATTCACGCCTGTAGGACTCGATCAATAGATCCATCAGTCACATATAAGGTCTCCATTAAATGATGCTAACTACTGTAATCAGACAAGATTAATTCAAAACAGCACTGAAGACATTATGTTTTTACAATTACATGTCATTAACCAATATATCAAAACATGCAGTTTGTGCAGGTATTTCAGTAACATTAAAAAAAAAAAAATAATCTCCCGCTTTCTTTGCTTGAAACCATTCTGTACATGGCGTAAAAACATAGCAAAGAAGGGCTCCGTTAGCGTGAGCGCTTTACAATACACTCGCTGTCTCCAGGAGACAGCAGCATCTTTGCTTTGCTGATCTTGGTAAGTATTACCAAAGTAGAAACAGGTATTCTATAGGTTCACTCTATCAGTTTTACAGTATTTCAGCTACGCATCTGAAGAAAACAACTCATCCTTGTGGGATTACACCTGGAAGCCACTCAAAAGTAAAGCTTTTCTTAAGGTGTTGCAAAGTTATTGAAATGGCTGGAATATTTAATAGCCAAAACCAGAGTACTATAAAAGCATATCCCAGAGGTTTCATAGTTTTAGTAGCGGTCAAAATATGCTTAGTATAGAAATCCGTGTTTATTTGAAAAAAGTGTAAATGATATTTCACAATATAAATTTAATCTGCTTACAGTTTTAGTGGCTGAAGCAGCTGTGGCTGGACTGCTAATTGGCAATTTGCCAGCATGATGTTCAACGGGATCTAACCTGCCAGTATACTGCTAAATGGGATCTAACCTGCTACTATAATGTTAAATGGGATCAGGCTGTCATTTCTATTGCGAGTGTTACGAAAACATCCCATAAAAATAGCCAACCACGTATTTTCTCTTTTAGTGTGAGCAATGGTGAACATTATGAGCAACACGCCTGAAACAGATGATTCGACTTTTGGATTGAAATTTTTAAACAACTTTCAATCATTCAAGTATTATGGTCCCTATATACATACTTCTATGTGGCTAAAAAAGACACGGTAGACAATTGAGCACACTGCCACCAAATCGTAAGAATTACAAAATTGTCAGGTTTTAAACAGCAAATTGTACCTTAGTCGTTTAATTAAAAATAGAAGAATTAGGTAGACTATTTTGCAAATAAAACAGCACACTAGTGTGCTATATATTAAGGCATACCTTTAAATGCGCACTTGTCATCTAACAAGTTTTATACAATTGCTACCAAGTGAAAGGACTATCATTGTCTTGCAAAACTGAGAAAGAAATACAAAATATCTGGAAGCCTACATTTTTAAAGTACAAAATTAACCTTCAGTCCTTGTCTTGAAATACTATACACGGTACAAACAGCGATTCCCCCCTACAAGATCTCTCGAGGATTTCTTAAAGCTGGAGGTAAATTCGAAGGTTTTGATTCTTCATCCAGAAGTACCAAATCTTCGATTTCTCTACCTTTGTATTTTCTTTTGCAGATCTTCACAATAACTCTCTTCTTGAGGAATAATTTCAAAGCTTCTCTGGAAGCAACCGCTTTGGCATTTTCCATACTTTTACCACAGCCAGTACCCAAGTAGACAGACTTGCACCGCAGTTCACAAACTATATTTTCTAGAGAGCTCTTATTTTGAGGCAAGTCTGCAAGTTCCTTCAAGGGTACGAAAGCAACATCTAACGTAGCTTTCACAGACTGAATAGACGAGTTTAGAAGTTCTGCGTGATTTACGTTAGGACTGAAGCCTCCAACAGCAACCAGTTTCCAGGCTACAGCTTTGTACAGTCTGTTGAAAAAAGGTTGTCTTTCCTTTGCATCTTCACTGGTTAACGGCTTGGACAAAGCCTTAGCAGGGCTTTCACCTGTCTG